CCTGCACCCCCCCTCCCCCGACCCCCCCCACACGTCTCTGCCTTTCTTTTACACACAGCCACGTATTTAAAATTCATATCAATGGACACAAGTGTAACAGTTCAACACACACACACAGCTGCTAATGTACTGTAAAATAATAGGCTGCCGGGGGGTTGACCTCTGCTGACCTCTGCTGACCTCTGCTCCTGGAGCTCCTCCTTGTGGAGGAACAATAGGAAAATAAAAAATAAAGTCCTTCTGGTCCACAGTCAGTGACTGGATCAGCTGCAGCTGAGTCACTAGTTAGTGGTAGTTAAGTAGTTACTGGTTGAGTTTAACTTTCACACCGACGTCGTGGTCTTCACCTGAGGAGACGACTAGAACGTCTGGACCAGCTGACCTCTTCAATTTACCACGTCAATCATGTCCAGGTAGACACACACACACACACACACAGTTGTCAATCATCCCAGGATGAAACTCCAGTGGATTTTTTGGGTGGAAGAGAACGAAGGGTTAATTCCTGCGTGGTTGACTTCCTGTCTATAATCCCTTCATTTAATCTCTGCGCTCCTCGTGTCGCTCGCCCTCACATTTACTGCTGTGTTTGTCGAAGCCCTGGAGGATTTTAGAATCAGAAACATGAAGCTGAGAAGAAAAGGAAACAAAAACCTGTTCCTTTAACCGGTGAAAACAGAGAGAACTTTCCAGAACACGTCGTACGATGTCCAGGAAGAAGACTCTTCACCTCAGAGTCAATCTTATATTTTTGGAATTTTAAATTTTAACAAAAACAAGCTGGTTTCATTAACTCTAACTAGTTCTAACAGGTCGATGGTTAGGATTAAATCATTAAATATCTAAAAATACACAAAACACCGACGGCTGCTGTGGCTACAAACACACACCGACGGAACAGGCGACAATTAATTACAAAGATTTAATGACTTTCATTTTGAAGCCGGAGGGAAAACAAAAATCAACAGCTGCTTCAAAATCCACGACACATTTTCTGTGACAATAATGAAACGACGAAGAGCCGAGAAAAAAAAAAACACCGGTGGAACCACAGTCGTCAGGATCGGTGCCTGAATGATGATCAGATTGATCAACAGGCTCAGAGATTGATTGGTCAGGTCTGGTTATAACAGATCCATTAGAATTGTAATAGATCAGTCAGATCTCACTGCAGCTGTTCAGCCCCCCCCCCGACCCCCCCACAGTAATAGACATCATTCGTCTGTCTGTCAGTGGACCACTGTTGTAATGGCAGGGTGTGTATGTGTGTGTGTGGCAGACACACATCTACTTTTCCTTCAATCACTCTAAACAACCTGACAGGAGTGAAATGAGTGAAATATATATATATATATATATATATA